TATATATATTGCTCAAGGGCTGTCATTACTTAGGAACATTGGGGTCATTGATAAGACACTATCATTACCCTTTTTTAAATTCTGTCTTCTGTAAGGAACTTGACCTGCTTCACCTTCTGTTTTCTTCCATAGCCATAATGACTTTGTTGCCATCCTGGATCTCCCTGAGGGAGAGCATCAATACAAGTTTTTTGTGGATGGACAGTGGGTTCATGATCCCTCTGAGGTAAGGCCTTGATCTGCAAAGAGCCATTGACTCAGCAACTCCTATGCTCACTGGGCTCACGTTTGGTGGGCAACAGCCCTCCTGTGTTTCTCTCTTGATCAAAGACTTTAAGGAAAAGTAGAAGGGAGGTGGGATGAAGAGATGGATGTGAAAGGGAATTCAGTACTTTTTTTTTTATTCACTGTTTCAGCCTGTGGTTACCAGTCAGCTTGGCACAATTAATAATTTGATCCATGTGAAGAAATCTGATTTTGAAGTATTTGATGCTTTAAAGTTAGATTCTATGGAAAGCTCTGAGACATCGGGTCGAGGTAATTCTATGCTGTTGCTTTCTCTCTCACCGTGTCTTTCGTGTAATGCATATTCCTTCCCAAAAGTGGTTCCTTCCTTTACTTTGTGTTTCTGAGTCTTCTCAGGAATTTTAAGATCCTCTATATACACAAACATCACCTGACACAAAAACTGTGGTATAATGTCTGCTTGTCTTACATCTGATACACTCTGTTTTCCATTTTACCTTTTATATAGCCCACCAATGAGCTCCAGCCTGTAGGTTCAAAAGCTGTTTCTAATATCTTATATTTTCTATTGACATTTGGTGATGATATCTGGTGAAGGCTAGATGTACCTGGTTTGTTGTACTAAGCTGTTTAATCTTGGCATCTTGAGAACTCGGTTGCAGGTTGGGGTTATGAGGGCCTACAAGTATAGTTGTCACTGAGGGAGGGTGAGAGAAAACAACCAAAACAAACTCCACGGCTCTTCTGTATGTAATTGAAGTTTTTGGTAGTGGAAAGACCTGTGTACTTCTGTTTGCTGCAGTGTCACTTTCCCCAAGGTCTTTGTCTGTGCTTGTTCACTCCAGGAGCAGGAGAGTTGCTGTTCTGCTACTCTGTGATAAAAGATGTACCTGTCTGAAGGACTGTGCAGTGTATTTCCACTGAGCATACTATTCTCTTGAGCTCCAAGCCTGCATCTACTCCTAGTTTTGCCATAAGACACAAGTCTCTCAGCAGTAAAATCAGAGGCATGGACCCTTAGGGATTCTCAGTCAAAACAGCCAAGTAGAGCATAGACTCTCAGGATGAGGGCAGCTTCTCTTGCTTCTAAAGCTAATCCAGAGCATAGTAATTACCTACTTAGGAAAGCTTTGAAAATCTTGTTTTCATTGTGTAGTCTCTGAAAGTTAAATTGAAGATTCTTATTGGCTGGTGGGGCAGTGATTTTAAAAGGTTTACATTGTGAGGCCACAAGTGACTAAATTTTTGCATGATGATTCTGATAAAGTAACCAATAAACATTTACAGTCAGTCATAATTATATAGTGAGAAGACTAGCATACTTTTGGTATTTCTTCCCTCTTTCACCCAATTTCCCAAGTCAGCAGTTTAAAGCATTGAGCCTATTTTGTTAGGAGCAGGCAAATAATGGGCATTGGTCTGCACTCATGTAGCATGTAGCCGTGTGTATGATGTTGATTAGAGTGATTTGGGGAAAATCAGTTATCCAGTTTCCAATTTTTAAGATTTTGTTTGATTTATTCATTTTTACTTCACGTGGACGAGTGTTTTGCCTGCAGCATCCACAGAGGCCAGAGAGGGCATCGGAGCCCCTGGAACTGGAGTTAACAGTGTTGTTAGCTGCCGTGTGGGTGCTGGGAACTGGACCCTGGTTTTCTGCAAGAGCAGCCAGTACTCTTACCTGGTGAGCCATCTCACCAGCCCTTAGTTTGTAGGGTTTTTTTTTTTTTTTTATATGTATGCATGTATTGCCTACATGTAAGTAAGTGCACCCATGTTGTGCAATGCCCACAGAGGTCAGAAGAGGCTCTCGGATCCCCTGGGACTGGAGTTACGGACAGTAGTTGTTAGCTGCCATGTGGGTTTCTGGGATTCGAACCCGGGTCTTCTGCAAGAACAACCAGTGTTCTTAACCGCTGAGCCATCTCTCCAGCCCAGTTTGTAGTTTTTTTAATATAATGGAGATGAAAGGAGAATTGTTCTGTTAGTTCTAGTGGTGGTTTATGGGTCATATGATTAAAAATTGAAATAATTGCTTTTAGAAGTTTCAAGTTCTATATATTTTTAAGGTAATAGAACAATGTTAATTGTTGTCTTTCCTTCTACCTCACATAGATTTAACTGAAATTTGAATTATTAAAATGAACTAATTTTTAAAGTATTTTCTGTGGAAAAAAAAAAACAGTTCATTTCATTTTGTAGGCTTCCTGCTTGCCTTCTTTTTTTTGTTTTTGAGACAGGGTCTCACTGTGTAACCCTGGCTGGCCTGGAACTCACTATGTAGACCAGGCTGGCCTCAAACTCACAGAGATCCACCTACTTCTACCTTCTGAGTGCTGGGATTAAAGGCGTGTATACATCACCACGCCTGACTCACTTTTCATTTTTAAGTACAGTTCACATACCTACCTTGAAACTCATCTTTTTAAATTTTACTATTTACTCATTTGTAGTGTAATGAGATTTGAAGCCACCATCACTCCCAAAAGAAAGTCTATACGGTTGGCACTTACTTCCCATCCCATCCTCCTCTGCACCCCTGTTGTCAGCCACGGAGCGTTTCTGTCTTCATGGACTTGCCTACTCTGGACATGTAATATAAGTGGAATTATACACCCTGTGGTCTTTTGTGTGTGGTTTCGTTCTTAGCATGTTTTCAGAGTTCATCCATATTAATACTTTGCTTCTGTTTATATGGCTGAATAAAATGACAGGCCCATTCAGTTGTCCATTCATTGTTGATAGATACCTGGATGTTTCCTGTTTGGAGCTTGTATACATCTGTTCTGAACACACATGGTCAAGTTTTTGTATGATTGTTTTTTGTTTTGTTTTGCTGTTGTATTTTTGTTTTGTTTTGTTGTTAATGTTATTTTGTGGGGTTTGTTTTGTTTTGTTTTTTGAGACAGGGTCTATGTAGTCCTGCTGACATGAAACTTACTATGTAGGCCAGGCTGACCTTGAACTTACCAGAGATCCATTTGCCTCTGCCTCCCTAATGCTGAGATTAAAGGTGTGCACCACCGTGCCTGGCCAAAGATTTATATTTTATTATTTTTAAGTGTGTGTGTGTGTTTGCATGGGAACACATGTGAGTGCAGGTACCCAAGGATACTCTGAAGCTGCAGTTAGAAGCAGTTGTGTGCTGCCCAACATGGGTGTTGGGAATCAAACTTGGGTCCTCTGCAAGAGCAGTATCTGGTCTTAACTGCTCAGAGATCTCTCTAGTGCTGGCTTATGTTTTAGCTCAGGTATATACCCAATTGTGAGGTCCCAAAGTGTTTAACTGTTTGGGGAGCTACTGTTTTCCAGGGTGTCTGTACTATTTTATACTTGCACTAGCAGAGGGAATACTGCAGTGAGAAGGTTTTAATTCCTGCACATTTTTGCCAGTACTTGTTAGTCTGTCATGTTGGTTCTAGCCATCCCACTGACTATGAAATGGTATCTTATTGTGATTTTGATTCCACTTCCCGAACTGTTGTTATATACATTTTGTTCTTACTGCTGTGATTATTGTAGACTTAGAGTTTATAACTTTATTTTCTGTTGCTTGAATAGAAATAACAAAAGAAATCTTATCTTTTCAAAGCATCTTCATATCCATTATCACTTTGATTTTCTCAAAAACATTGTGAATTAAGACAACGATTTTTATTTTGTGGATGAGGAACCCATCATAATAAAGGGATCTGACCATGGTCATATGGCTGTAAATGGAGTAGCTCTTCCTGGAGGTTAGGTCTCAACCCTTCATCTCCTTCACATCATGCTGCCTTGTTGGGAAGCTTCCTATTTATGTCCAGGATGGCACAGACATTTTCTTTTCTTTCTTTCAGTTATAGACCCCATGGAGCACAAGTTTTTATGATCCATGACTTCTATATTCAGTATTAATGGCTATGTATTGATAACTTTTCCCATGCAGTCTTACTGATCAACTTAACCTTTGCATTTGCATAAATATTTTTCAGACCTTTCCAGCTCACCCCCAGGGCCTTATGGTCAAGAAATGTATGTGTTTCGATCTGAGGAGAGATTCAAATCCCCACCTATCCTTCCTCCTCACTTACTGCAAGTTATTCTTAACAAGGACACTAATATTTCGGTGAGTATCCTGACAAGGTTGCTGGAGCATGGGAGGATCTCTAGTCCCATAGGCCAAAACTCAGAAGTCCTGGAGGTTGGGGTAAGTAAGGTGATCAATCATGTACTTAGCAACACTGTAGATTAATTTTTCCAAGACTGAATTGCGACTTCTTCAGATACCAATAGCCAAACTTATGCTTGTCTCTGTTCTTAGTAAAATCAGAATGAAACTGTACTAGAATCAATTTCTAGGACTTGTATTACAACATAAATAAGGGGTACTTCTTATTATGGGATATAAAAAAATTGACAATTTTGTTAATAGTTCTCTCTCTAATTGTATTAAGGAAAATTAGCAAATGCTGCGGCTTAGAGTTTCTGCCCTAGACTGAGGATTTTCTAAATTTTCTCATATGGGATTGTATTACTGATGTCTACTGGGTTGGGTTCATGATTTACAAGAGACATGGTGTGCCTATTTAGAGTTCTTAACAGTTCTAGAGTGTTCTGAAAAAGAGTAAGCGGTTTGTTTTGCCTGTGTGTTTAATCCTTTTTATTGGGTGGGGTGTCTCTCTCCTAGTGTGACCCAGCCTTACTTCCTGAGCCCAACCATGTTATGCTGAACCATCTCTATGCACTCTCCATTAAGGTAAGTGGTGGCCCTAGTCTTTCACAATGTCATGAAATGGAATGGTAAGTGTAAGGTGTGTTCTCCAGTGATAACTTGCTCTGCTCTGTCTTTGAAGGCTGAAGTTGACACTAATGGCCAGATTATAGAAGAGCTGTCTGTTTTTTAACTAGTGAGTTGTTTGATTTTAAACCTCAGTGTCTGTGTCTATGTTCTAGCTGAATTGTCTGGTAATTGTGGACTTTTCTGCTCCCCAGTTTCTTGTGCCTGGAACCTTTATACCATCTTTTAAGTTTGAGGTCTTAGTAGTTGGATTTCATTTGCAGAAAATAAAGTTTAGCTTTTTCAAGGAATGCTTGAATGTGATAGTAAGACTTCCATTTTTAAAAACATGGAATTGAGCTACATTCAGATGCCCTAGTTGGTTTGTTTTGTTAGGTTTTTTGTTGTTGTTGTTGTTCTTGTTCTTTTGTTTTTGTTTTTTTTGTCTTTTTGAGACAGGGTCTCCCTGTAGCCCCAGCTGTCCTGGAACTCACTATGTAGACCAGGCTGGCCTTGAACTCACAAAGATCTGCCTGCCTCTGCCTCCCAAGTGCCAGGACTAAAGGCATGTGCCACCACGCCTTGCTCCTAGTTTTTGTTTGCTTGTTTTGTTTGTTTGTTTTTAACATTTTATTATTTTTATTTTATAAAGATGAGTGTATTGTCTGTATGTATATAAGTGCACCCATGTTATGCAATGCCCACGGAGGTCAGAAGAGAGCGTTGGATCCCGTGGACTGCAGTTATGG